GAAAAAGGAAGAGGAAAACCAGACGAAATTAGAGCTCCTAACGCCTATAAAAGGAGACTTTTGCTACCCAGAAAAGACATCCACAACTCAACGACCCAGAGCTTGACCAAGCTTTGTCAAGCAATCTGGAATTTACTCAAGCCACCCAATCCCCTTTCTCCGTTGTTTTCTTCTTCCCCTGAGATAAAACCTTGCTAAGTTTTCCTTCGTTCTCAGTTTAGATTTGATCCTCTGTAAGAAATTCATGCTGTTCTCTCTCTCTCTCTCAAACTGCTAAACTCATGAAAGCTTAGCTCTCATGCCACATACTCCTCAGGCTGAGCCATTAGCGAACTCCTCATGCTTATTTGGGTGTTAGTGAAGTGATCCTGAGAGTGTTCTTTTAAAATCTCATTAGATTTTCTAAAAACTCTCTTGGGAGCTTGTTTTTCGAACTCAGGCATTTGGGGGATTTTGCTCGTTGTCTTCTTACAGCAGCCCAGGCCTATTCGTCAGGCTGCTGGAATAAAAAACCCCCTACAAATGGTTTGGCTGCTTTGGCATCTACAAAGGAATATCTGAGTCAATCAAAAGCAAATGTAGTTGTAATTGAATGCATTTCTTTTTCGCCTTTTGTTTTGTTTTTGGTCCCATTAATACAATTGATAGCTTTGGTTTGGATTGATTATAGGATTAATAGACATGGGTTTAGTCAAGTTTGTTAGAATAGATGTGCTCCGTATTCTGCACCGAGTTCAAATTCCCCTATGCATAGTTTAAATTAGATTAAGTAGAATATTGCTTTTATACCATAAATTTCAATTGATTGCATTGCAGCACTACACAAGTTTAGGTTATTTTTTTGACGAGGACGTTGGGGATTTGGTACCTCATAAGAGGCATGTCTTGAAATTCCATATGGACCCATCCAACAATTTGTCATAGATTTTGAGCAAGAGAAATTGCCCTAATTCTGTTTTTCCGTGGGCTTTGTGGTAAGTTGAGTCATATTTGTTGTATAAGCTTTTGTAAATGAATGATAATCATCAGAGCATATCGCGTTCATGTAGCAAACGTGTGGTTGGATCATAACAAATCGTCTCAAAGCTTACCATGCTATTCGGCCTTTAACGGGTATTAATGCAATACCCTAGCTACTTCTCTTTACGTGTGAATTATGCAAGCATTTGATCAAATTCTAAATCAATTTTTATTCAAGGTCAGTTTGGACTTCGGACTTGATCAGGACTTTTAAGGTTTATTTTTTATTCTTCAACTAAAGTATTGTTAGTTAGAGCATTCACGGTAGGGAAATGTAAATTCAGGGATGTAAAATCATTTATATATATTTTTTGCATATATGGGAGATGTAAATGCGATTTTTGCTTCAATGAGAAACATGTAAATCCAAAGACGTATATTTAGTTTTTTGTGCTTTTTTTTTCGTGTTAAAATTTTAAAATTAATTTTGTGTGTGTTAGGTTTATTTTATTTTTCCAAACAAAAGATGTGAAAAAATGTAATTGTGCATATCCGGTGGAAAATTTAAATGTGCAGCCATATACATACCACCATTGCAGCACTTTCAGGACGTGATGAGTGTAAATCTGATATACACCCCCTTTTATATATGACCACTGTGGACAGTGGCGAAGCCAGGAATCGAAACACAAGGGGTCTTAGTGTAAAAGTCCCAAAAAAAAATTTAGGATGGAATCAACATATATATTATACATATGCAAAAAAATGAAAATAAAAACTCACATTGTTACTGGAAATTAGTGCGATAAACATCTCCAAGAATCTCATACTTCACTTATGCACTAAACATATAAACTTGAGACATCATTTTATTCGAGATGGAGAGAGGAGAGAGGAGATTATGTAGTTACCCTAAATTCCTTAATTAAACTGCTGCCTAAGTTTTAATTTTCAAACAAAATTAAAAAATTAGAATGGCATGCACAGGCTAAGGCGCAAGAGTGGCAGAAGTTGCAGCTTCAGATAGATATTAAAATGTAAACTTTGTTATTACTGGGGGCAAGAATGCTTTGTGATGGTCCAGAGGCCAATAGATAGCAATTTGTCATTTTGCTTTGACTTCAATTATAGTGTTTCATAGGCACTGGCGGACCCATGAATTTTTTAGCGGAGGTGCAATATTGACTAAGTATGAAAAACGATTTTTCGGAATAATCATTTTCTCAAGATAATTTTTGGCGGCTTTTATTCCTTACACATCAAATAAGAAAACTTGATTTTATGGGATTTTAATATGAAGTGTATATTGACTTAATGAGCTATTATTTTTAGACTAAATCGTATTTTGCACTAAAACCAAATTTTCATATTTTGATTTGGTGAGAATTTGATTTTCTAGTATTTTTATTTGAATCCAAATGGGGGTACTTCCTTATTTACATTGTAAACTTAAATAAATGTAGTAATATAAAAATAAATAAAAGTAAAAGGACAAAGACATTTACTTAAATGTTGGAAAATGGAAATAAGGACAGATTCCGTCAGTGCTCACAGGCTGAAGAGAAAAGTCTTTTGTGTGGCCAAGAATATGTAAAATACATTTGAACTTTGGCTTAAGGACAGATTCCGTCAAGTTGTGTTGTAGAGAAGCTGGTCTTTTTATTATTTTTTCAAACCTGGCTCAAAACGACGTCGTTTTGGCCATGTCGTTTTAAAAACAAAACTGGCGTGTGCTAGCCTTCTTCTTCAGCTTGCAACCCATCGTTCTTTTAGACATTTTGTCGACTACTTGGTGTGCAGCTCCAAGAGGTCGCATTAGCAGCTCTAATGGACCTCTAAGCCTATTTCCATGGCTTCCAAGAGGTCGTGCGACCCCAATGTAGCTCCGCCACTGACTGTGGATGCTCTTGCTATAATATACATAAGAAGAGGATCAAAATCGGGTTGTAAAATAATGAACACTATGACTCGGCTAATTGGCTTAACCCACGTCAATATGTTAAGGGTTTGCTTTTAGACCTTCTACAAAACATCGTCGGTGAATGATGGGCCTAAATGTGACTAGGTTGGACTGGGCATCCTTACAACTATTGGTCATCTTGATTCTTGATGATGTATTTCAATTTTTGGCACTTTGAAAGGTATCTTGTCAAAGAGTCAATTCACGCCCGCCAACAGGCCAAACCCACGAAAGGGGGCGAAAAACAAAGCCACAGTAATTATCAGAAGAGGAGTGTGGGCACGGAAGACCATCCTCGCACACACAAAACAAGCACCAAAAAGCAGTGCAGAGCTGGGCCGGCACAACCTCTCACAACTGCCAAACAAAGAATGATGCAAAAGAGAGACCCCTACGAAAATTATTGTCAACTTGGTACGAAATTGACTCAATGACTTAAGGATACATCACCATTAATTGTGCATCGCGCGGAAACTTTGGTTGGCCCCAACCACAACCACAACCACAATTTCTTACTTCTCTCTTAGCCTCAGGGTTGGCTCAACATAATTTCAATGTGTATAATGTGAAGAAAAAGAATAATAAAAACAAAAGGATCACAATCGTATAGGAAATGACAGACAAATTGCTCTTTGGCTACATTATGCAAATCGTAGTCTGACTTACATATACAAAAAACAACTCAACAAAAATACAAATATAAAAACTTAGGTACACGTATAGAACTGTGTCTTTAAAGAAGAATAAAACGTCACGTATAATGAACCAAATATTTTAAATCATTACCATCATAAACTAAGGGACTAATTGGAACACCCAGCCCCATGCTTATGTCACGACAACTGTGGATAGATCATGTAAAGATAACCATGATTCTATTCCATTATCCCAAAATCCCCATCCCATTTTAAAATCAAACAGAAGGGAATAAACTGAAGAATCATATTATTTCAAATGTTCATTTTCATTTTCATTTTCATATGGCAGGCAGGCAAGGCAACATTAGGTCGGTGGCAGGCAATGCATCACGATATTAAAATTGGTACAAGGCCAAGAATTGGATAGGATTGAGGATTGAGGTGGTTTCGGATGCATGTTACATCAACAAAGTTAATGTGTCCAAAACTTTGTCACCTACCATACCGACCACTAACAGCATGATCAATAGAGCCCCAGCTTCTTGGAGGTTTCTTGGCGGTCTGCTCATTTCTTTTTTCTTCATGAAGATCAAGATGAGAACCCATGAACCTTGACCTGACACGTGTCTTGGGGACACGTCAGACAATGCATTCGCATGTGATGCCATCCCATATCAAAGACCTAATAACGAGGCCAAGGTGGGTGTGAAAAGAGATGGAAGACTTGGCCTGTCCAGTTGAAACCTGCCATGGTCATGTATGAACCAAGTACTCGGGGATTTCAAAACCAATTCACTTTTGTTGTATGTGGTGCACAAACTGCCCTCCAACTCATTTGTTCATGTCATTAGGTTTGTTTAGAAGAAAGATTATTCGAATGTCATTATCCCATCTAAAAGCAATTGGCATTGAGGGTAGAAAGTCTACGTCTTTTACGTCTAATACATGAACAATTCCTACTACTAGACATAGAAACATGTAACATCACTCGACATGACAATAAAAAATTCGCTCTGATATCATATTAGACGGTGAATATTCAATTTAGAATAAATTGAAAAGGGAACTATGTGATTGTGATACATTTTTTGTTTAACATGGTTTGAAGCCTTGAATTGGGGTGACAGATAATCTTTATTGGTGTGCTGAAATTGCGCAAAGTGAGACTCCAAAATTGGAATTTTGTTTCTGTTTTTTTGTTGAACCCATTTATTAGAAGCACATGCAGCCGATTCATTTGAATGACCTCTCACAATGACTCAGGTAATCTCAGAGGCCACTAACTTGGAAACTACATGATACATAGTTTATTCATATACATTGGATCTTTTTTCGGAAGCCTAATATATAAAGTAATTTTTTTTTTTACCAATAACATTTTTATTATAAAAATCCAAGTGCTTGCAAATTCACCACAGAAAAAGTGACACTTCGGCTTTTGTTTTTTTTTTACACTTTTATTTATGTTAAGTCTTTTCGTCTTCAACCTTACGCAGGGAAAGACAAATGAAGTAAAAGTTTTTTGCAACAATTTCATTGATGAACATAGACTGGTTGTGAATCAGAGTGATTTTTTTTTTGGGGGGTAAATTGATATCATAAAACTACAAACCTACACTCTCCACATCATTGTTTACAGAACGCCGGAGACTAAATTCTAAAGTTAAATCTTGGGGGAGGGGGGGAAGGGGGGGTTAAAACAAAATTGGGATTTCATTTTCAATCATATTGTTATTTTCGTTTTTGTTTGCTTCTTCTGTTGCCTCTGTAATTTTAACTATGTATTGAACCAAACTGCACAACACTCTTCGGCCCATCAAAAGCAGTTGATGCGGGCAGTTCCGAAGAAGACGATGACGAGTAAGGATAACAAGCTTTTCTGAGCTCATTGTACCTTCCCTCATCGAAGTTCTGAAGCTTCATGAGGCGCTTCTGCTTCGCGTGAAACCTGCTCTGGAAAAATCCCTCGAAAGAGGGCTCTTTCGAGGTCCTGAGGAAAAATGCATAGCCAGCCATGAAGTACATTGAAGTAACGTAGAAGCAAATAGGTTCCATGACGTCCCACGAGAGTTCCCAGAAGGTGAGCCTCATGAACCCGGCTGTTTGGACAACAAGATATGCAAGCCCACACCAGAGCTCCCTCCGAACCAGGGACTCGGCTTTCCTGTCGATTTCGAACTTCTGCCTCTCCATGTCCTCCAATTCCCTGATTCTTGGGTCGTTTGGGTTGACTGCTGCAGCTCCTGGAATTGGAATTAGTTCCTGGATGGCTTTAGCTACCTGCAGTAATCAAACAGTTTGAAACGTTTGGGTAAAGCATGCTCAGCCTAACAAGCTAACATCTTCCATCAATCTTTGGACTTCTATGCTCAAACTATACAAGGAAAAACAACTTGGACTAAAAAAATAGCTTAAAACTATAATCAAGAAGATAACACAAAAGCTTTTGCTCTGCTACCTGCCAATTCTTTTTAAAACAACAAAAGAAAAGACTTAATTTTTGTTGAAGAAACAGAGAAAATACAAGTAATGAGTTATGCAAGCTGAGCAAAAGATAGAGATGCCATAGAAGGTGCACGTTAGCAACTAAAACAAATCCAAGAACTATATCTCAGCAAAACACTATACCACCACCCTAAAAGAGAAAAAGCAAATTTTTACTTCATTTGACCCTAAACATCCACCCCCTCTCTCCTGATTTCTTCCATTTCCTCATCTGGTATATTCATTACTCTTTACTTGGCAAGTAATTAATTATCCTAATCTTTAGGTATTAAATTTACTTCCTTTTTTTTGCCCTTCTAGTTCCTTCAAACACCAACCCCCACCACCCCCTTAAAAAAAGAAAAAAGAAAAAAGAAAAGTAATTTTCTGTAAATAAAAATGTCTTCCGCTTTTTTTCTTTGTTTTTTAATTGACTGTAGTCTCCTCAAACAGTGTATGAAAAGGAATTTAAATCCCATGAACATTAAAATCTGCCACGGTAGAAACTGAAACGTGGAACCCTTTTCACGTTTTAGGTTTGGCCTGTTGAAGAAAACAAACAAAATAATCATAAAATAATATCAGTTTTCGGAATTTCCTAAATCACAGAAAAGGAAAAAAAAAAGAATCAAACAATCACTAAAATGGGAAAATCTCGTAATTTTATTTCTACCCTCTCGGCCAACAGACCAAGACCATCAATAATTATCTGAAACACCAAAAAAATATAAAACCAACAAGAACAAGAAAATGGTAATTTGAAATTAAGCAAATAACGAAATCAAATTAAGATTAATGAATCAGAAATTAACCTGCTCAGGCCTCAAGCAAACGGCGTTTCCCAACACGATAACGGACCCGTTTTCGTCTAACGACTTGGCGAACCCGAGACCCAGATCCGGATCCGAACAACCCTCCTTGCATATCCGAACAAACTCCGGATACGATACCCAGCTTTTCTGGACTTCTCGAAGCTTCGATTTCACAGCCTCCAACTGGGCCACCCTCAGCAACTTCCTGGTTTCCTCCGCCGTCAATCCTGACCCCACCGCCGGCGACCTCTCCTGCTCGCGCTCCGGCGGAGCCAAACAGTCCAATCGGATTCGGTCAGAGCCAATGGCCATGACCCTGAGCTTCTGCATCAGGTTTTCTCCAGTCGGCAAGGACCACATTTCCGGCCTCTGGGATGTCGCCGCCGACGACCTCTTGTGGAGGAAGCGGCGGAAAATGACATTGTCTCCCGGGTCGGGTGCTATGCTTGTTTCCCGTGGCTTGGGAGCCGGTCGGGTATGAACCGCCGACGAAGAAATCCGGCAGTTTCGGAGGGTTTGGGGTGAGATCTTGGAGATGTTGAACAGGCGCTGGGCTAGGGTTTTCTTGAACGCCATCATATAAATCAAAGAGCGAGAATCGCCGAGGCTTTCTGTTTGATTAGGAGAGAGAGAGAGAGAGCTTGAAAGCTTTGTACTGGTTTCGAGCGCATCAACAATGGAGGCCTCTGTTCCTTTATATAGGTGTCCCAATTAACAGGATGACCACGATATTTTGAAAACCCTCGCGATATTTACAAACAGAACGAGGGGAGAAATTCCGCGTTGCACGGTTCTCAACGATCTACAAATGAACGTATGCCTTACGTTCGGGGCATATTCGTTTTATTAGTTCTCGCATTTTCAATTTCTCGTACGCGGGGACGCGGGGCCGGTTTCACGAGAGAAAAGATCATTTAAGTTGGTGACCCCATCACCGTCCACGTGTGCGGTCAAGCTCACCACAACGTAACAATTTCAACTGCCTACTGTATGATTAGATGAAATTGAGTTAGCTGCTTGATGTTGACTTATGTTCAGGTGGACTTCGCGTGCTGGAGTAACGTGATCGACACGTGGCGAGTATAGACCTATCGTTATCCTTGAGCGGCATGAGCTAATAATAGGGTCGGCCGCATGCGATTGTGAACTACTCCTTTCCTCTGCCCGAGAAAGTTGGATGGCACAGCTCATATGTTCTGGAGATATTAGAACAGGTACAAAGAGTATTTACAAAACGTTCACGCTAACGTGGCGCCAAATAGGCGTTTAAGGACCAAGCCTTTTGTTCATATCTTTTTTTTTTTTTTTTTGGGGGATGTCATAGCCTTCGTTTAAAAAAAAAACAAAAACAAAAACAAAAACAAAAACAAAAACGTGAGAGATAGAGATAGAGGTTTTTGGCAATGAATTTAAGTTGAGGAAGTTGAGGTGGTTGTTGTGGTCCAAAGGGATGCTATGATTGATAAGGTTGGATTAGTTTAAAAGATGTAGTAGGATTAAATTGGTGATTAGCAAAAACAAAAACAAAAACAAAAACAAAAACGTGAGAGATAGAGATAGAGGTTTTTGGCAATGAATTTAAGTTGAGGAAGTTGAGGTGGTTGTTGTGGTCCAAAGGGATGCTATGATTGATAAGGTTGGATTAGTTTAAAAGATGTAGTAGGATTAAATTGGTGATTAGTAATGCGATAAGTCGTATTATTTGGTTGATTAAAGATGCTGATTTTAAATCCCAACAACCTTACATTCATTTTTACTTTATTATTCTAGTTTTTGGATGATCCTAAATCTTTTTTTTTTTCCTCAAATGTAATTGTTATTGTTGGGCCATTCCTTTGCTTGGAGGTGAATGATGATGAAAAATATGTGGTAATATCGTCACACAAAATAATGCATTTCAAATTGTGGAATCTTACCCTTTATCGTTGGGTTCGGTAAATATAACTCAGTCAATTCAAATCCCTAAGTTAAGTTTGACCATATCGTTTTTTGCTCGCTTGGTTTTATCTACAAATGGTGTGGGAGCGAAAATTACTCCTCAAGTAGTAAGCCACTTATCCATGCATCCTAAACTGGGGAGAGTGGAGACAATCAAGCAACCTGTTATCCACTATCTTGGAACATGGAGATAAATGAGGAATATGAGACTCGGAGCCCAAGACTCCAAGGCCTATAAAAGGCCAATTAACCCAACATCTTGAGAGAGGAAAAATAAAGGATGCATGGATAAGTGGCTTACTCATGCAATTTTTTGAACTTCTACTGACTTAGGCGTCAAAGTGTCTTCTTACAGGTACCTCCTCCTCCACCATTGGTGTCAATTGAAGATAGTGTCCGGCTTCTCAACATTTAATACAAAATTTCTTATTGGAAGATCCGAAATTTTCTGCTCCAAACAAAGGTAGCATTCTCAAATTCCTTTCCTTTGGTTTGTTGTAAATTTTTTAACTTTTTTTTTGTTTTTGTTTGCACATTAATCACATTATCAACATGCGCAAGGCTGCATCCAAATAAACCATTCCAATTTCCATGGTCAAAGCTCGAATGTTTGCATATTAAACTGCAATGCGTCCATCCAAATCCTCATTAAAATGACTAGGCGTACGGTGCATTATATATTCTGCACGATTTATGAAATCATTTTAATTAATTTTGATAATTAATCTCAATTACACTACTAAATAATACATGTGCCTAAGAATCCAAGAAAAACAATGACATATTTGTATTTGGTCAATACAAATTAAATTACGCAATTGCGTATTATTTAACCACGAGTTGCATAAAAAAGCTGTTTATTTTAATCTTTACATCCTTATCATCATCACTCACTCAAACCATGCAATTGCGTGTGTGACCAAATAAAATGCTGCTAAAATATTTGGTTAGTTTATTCAAAAAAATAAATACTGCTAAAATATTTGGTTAGTTTATTCAAAAAAATAAATAAAGTTTGATTAGCTTCATCAAAGTTCGTAATCATGTTTGCCCACTAGACCTAACAGCTGTTAATTATTGTCAATACCTAAATTAATGTCAGACCTAATTTTTTCCCAACAAAAAAATTTGTTTGTTATTTTCAGTACGAAATTAGGGTTTTGATTTATTTATAAATTTACGGTGACACAAAGCTATCCACCAATTCTGAGCTGCATATGAGTCATGAGCAGCATAGAACTCTCTCTTCAATCCGGTTTGATCTAGGACAATTCAAATAAGTTTGGATGGATAATGAGATTCTTGGCTTGATATGGACCCAAATGAAAGTCTGAGTACTAGAAGAAACATAGTTGTACATTTTTGCAGCTTTTATTCGATAATAATTTTAGAGGATTTGATGCTCTGTGCTTTAGTTTGTTATCCTTTCTCGAGCAAACCTCACATTGAATTGCCATTTTCTCCTCCACTTGGTACACCAATATCCCTCATTCTCATTGGTCAAAAAAAATTTAACCCTAAAATGTACCATGTTTTGGTATGATAATGAGATTCCTCTTTAGTCAAATCGTTGGTGCTACGACTCGAATCGTTTGATGAACTAAACTGATTAAATTGAACAACTGTCCAACATATTCGGGACAAATATCCCCTTCCCAAGAGTGAGACTCTATTGGACGAAACTGGAGTCGGTTCCAGTCACAGCCACCAAATGGGATGACTAACTAGGAGGATGCCCTTCATCTTGGTAATGGTCAAGCTCCATGTATATCCATGTCTATAAACCTTCCACGTAACTAGAGGATAGAAGAAACACTAGTACTTGGATTATAACAAAAAGGCTCCTCGAATGCTAAAACCAATAGGCTTTTACTGGTTATCACTCTTTTAATTATGCTTCGTTCGTAGTACTTGGATTATAACAAAAAATCTAAATTCCTTGTCATATATTTCATATGTAGATCTCAATCTGATATTTATGAAGAATATAACACACACCCTTTTACCGAATGAATTGTAGTCATGAAATTGCAGTCATGAAATAGACTGGTGTGGTTGACAAATGCTTAAAAAACTTGAGGCAAGGCAAACAACTACACCACATTATTTTAAAAGAATCCAATCTTTGAGTACACAAATGCTTTATTCTTTTCTCTCATTTGCACTTAACCATGTAAGTTGTACATAAAAGTATGCAAGGAACCTCATGAGCCTCCTAAGATTAGTAATAATTGAGCATTGCCTTATCAACTAGGAAAAGCAATGATTGAGAGACCATGCATTTTTCTAAATAGTCTAAGGATAGCATATATTCCCGACAATGCATGTTTATTCTCGCAGGTTTTGCCAAAGTTTAAGCAACCAAAGCCAGCAAGCAATGCTGGTTTTATGGGTCACTTGGCATGATTGACCTCTTGTTCTAAATCTCATTTCTGTCTTTTTCTTTTTTGGCTTTGCCTTCATTCCACCCTACTGATATTCTTTACACACCCATACCACACAGGGAGTGAGAGACAATGCAGCTTCTATCGTGTCTGTCTGTGTAAGCAGTAAACATATAGATCAATCTAGAAAACCTTTGAAGCATAGCATGGCAAAAATGTCGGATGCACAACTGAAAATATTACAGGACAGTGAATTGGGAGGAGTTTTTGTACAAAGGTCTTATAAGCTTGGTCCATTGTACATATCATTAATGGTGTCAGCAATGATAAATTATTTATTTGAGCATGTTTACAACGCCTTAACTCTTCACCTACCTATAAGTTAAGTACCCATCAAGGGAACTCAGAGTGTGTGAACCGCATCACGTCTAAATAACTATAAACCCTAGCCCACGTCAACATCAACAGCATAACCTTCAGCTTGGCATCTGAGCTAATCAGCAGAACTTCCACGCAAATGTATTGAACTTGGTTACAATAAACTGAATACTGAGTCTGCTCTTTCCGAAAGTTTCCTTGCATCCTGTTGCAAAGCTTTCTTTCTAAGCATTCAGATAAATGAAGCCCATGTGGTGATGGCTCTTCCAGAGTCTGGATTTTCGATTTACGGCATCTTGCCACCATCATATACAGAGTCATCAGGTTGACAGGAGAAGTGCTTCCCTATCTAGAACATATTATCTTAAGCAGCAATGCATTGCATTTGCAGCACCATCAATGTGGGGAATCTCATGGGTGCCAAATAGCATCAAGATACCACATCCCCAGCAAATAGAAAGTCACAGATCTTCTGATCAATGGGGACAGCATTCTGAGACTGACCATCACTCTGCAGACTCTTCTTTTCCTTCCTATACATTTCACTCTCACGAACTCTACCAAGTTTTTGGAGACCGGCTAAGAGAACATTGTATGTTCCCAAGAAAGGAAGAAACCCTTCCCCTCGCATCATATCAAAAATTTTAAGTCCTCTATCAGCACTACCAGCAGAGAAGTAAACACCCATCAAGGCAGTGTAAGTTGTAGTGCACTTGTGATCATCAGGCAATAAATTAAAGACTTTTGCAGCACAATTGGTCCTTCTAGCACGCCCAAGCCTATATATTAGAAGTGCACTTAGGTATGTTCCAGGAGAATACCCAGCCCTAATCATCTCCACAACAATCTCTACCACCTTTGGAAATGAATTTGATCTGATCAAAGCTCCTATTAAAGAAAGATAGGCATTTCTCTCAACAATGATACCCATTTTCACACTATATTCAAAAGCCAGCAAAGCACCATCTGGTCTGCCAAGTCCACAATTTACCTCAATGATGGTTGAGATGATTGCAGAATTCAATTTTATATTCTTATCTTCATTTCCAGCGAGTAAGTGGTCTATGGCAACAAGATTTTCCTTTTTTAAGAGAATCATTACAAGCCATTCATCCATTGTTGAAGGAGCATCAGCAGCAGTTGCCTTAAGCTCACCTGTCTCCTGATTCCCAGATTCAATGGAAAAGTGAGGATGAACTTGCCTGAGGAGGGAATCACTCACCCCAGCAATTTTAAAAGTTCTGATTGCCTCTAGAAATACAGGGTAACGAAGGGCAAGGCGATGTTCTTTCATAAACCAAAGGACTTGGTTCATTGTCCATGTCTCTCCCACTTTGCACAAATTCTCAATTAAAATATTGCAAGCCGCTTTATCAGGTTGTACTCCAGCATCTTGCATTTTGCCAAAAATCTCAAGTGCCTCTTTGCATTTGCCTGAAACCCAACACAAATAGAGTAATTTGATTATCTTAAGTTTTGGAGGCAGGAGAGGAACATAGTAAAAATGAACCAGTTTGCCCAAGATCCCACCAAAAGTGCATTATGCATAGAAATTATACAAGACGAGTCCATTTCAGAACCATTAATATTAATATGCAAGTTAACGAAACATGATATCTTTCCTTAATACGATTAAGCAAAGAAATATGTTTGCACGTTGCTTACACATCATCTGCAACACTGGGAGGGAAAAGGAAAGCAACCACAAAGATTACCGACAGTCAAATCAAAACAACTTCAAATTATAGCAAAAATCATTGAGAGGACACAACCAAACAAGAAGTCTTAGGTTCTGTTGATAAAGAACAGCCAGTGGGAAGAGAAATCAGTGCAACCCAATGAACAAAAGTGGTAACTTGCAGTGTATATTTGCTTCAACTAACATATAAAACATGCCCAACATCAAACAATTTAACAATGGCCCATTCAGACATTACAACAAACAAACGGATGGCACTGGGTATGCAAAGTTGAGTTGGGCTCACCTGAACCAATGAGGTATTCCATTAAGACAGTGTAGGTATGACAAGTTGGAGAGCACCCAGATTGAAGCATTTCCTTGTAAACATCAGTGGCCTCCTTCACTCTGTTATCATTAAACAGGACCTTCATATAAGCAGTGTAAGAAACAACAGTAGGAACACAGCCCTGAGCTCTCATCTCCTCCCAAACCTTCACAGCCCCATCAACATCCCCAGCACTAGAAAGCCAATGCATCAGCGAAGTGTAAGTAACAGCATCAATCCTTATGTCCTTCTCTTGCATTTGCTTGAAAACATGGGTCATGGACGAAACCCTCCCCGCCTCTCCAAAAATGTCCAGCATTGTTGTGTACGTGAAGTGGTCGTGCTTAAACCCTCGAATCCCAGCAACCCAGTTGAAAAAAAGCCAGGCTTTTTCCATTGGGGGATGGGTTTTGAGCACCTGGCTCACTGTGTAAGAGTCCCATCTTATGGGCAGCCTCTGTAATTGGTCCTGAGCAGAATCCCATGTTGAATATTTGAGAATTTTGTATATGTTTCCAATGGTTTCTCTCATGTAAATCTTTGGGTCTGCATCTTCTTGCTTTTTACTGGATTTGAAGTGCTTCTTGGTGCTCTTTCTGGTAATTGGCTTACTGGGTTCGTTTTGTTTGATTCGGTTGAGTGAATGGATGGATTTGATGGAACTCTTTGGACATTGATGATCATGGATGCCCGTGAAAGCTGCGAGGTGTTTGAGAAATCCATGGAGGTTATAGAAACCGCGCATAGAAGCTATGCGTTCAGTCCTCGCGCTTTTTTGTGTCGCTGATAGTCAGATGAGAAGTGATTTCTATTGTAGCAAAATTGTGAAAATGGGTCAAGAATATACGAGTCATTTTCTCGACAACAAAAAAATGCGGAAATTTTTTCAGTAAACAATTCTCTCTTTTCAGTAAACAATTCTCTCTCTCTCTCTCTTTTATTTTTTCCTTCTTTTTTTGCAAGTTTTTCAGTAAAAACAATGTTACAATTTTTTGGGTAACTTAATCTTTCATACAGTACAAGACTTAATAATAGTAAAGTTTGGATACAGGCAATCACTCTCAAACCACAAACCACAAATAAACTTAACAATGGAGAGAATTCTAACTCAAAACATTCGTAAGTTTACAGCTCGTTTCATACTCATGGTAAAGCTGATCCACTCAACTTAGTAAATCTTGTTCATGAGTGAGCAGTATCAATTACCGTTTTGATGAGAATCAAGTACCATCTTGACCTGGTACAATCATACAGCATGATGACATTGTGACTTTTGGCCTTTGATCAGGATCAAGGCTCCAGTTTTAGGGCTCAAAAAATGTAACGTAGTAAAAGAAGAGTTCTTAATTTCAATATTGCTGCGATAGACTCATAAGCATATATCTAGTGCATGCCTACCAATCCCTCATTTTCTGCACACTCCCAACCCAACAAACCATCATCTCAAGATGTTTCCAAGATAGTAATTAAAGAAATACATTCACGTTTTCATGTTTTTACATCATTTCACCATGTAACAGTTGAGTATCCCCAAAAATTTCATACAACAAACCAGATAAAAAACAACCGAAGCTAAAATCATGAAACAATTTTCTTCCTATCAAGAATGCATGCCTTTCTCGGCCTCTTGACTGAGCCCTTTCATATTTCACACTTCATACTTTGTATGTCTTCAGCCGTTGGATCCATTAGGCCGATACATATCAGACTGAAGATGAACAATCTCTATATCATAGAGAAGCAAGTAAAAGAAATATATCAAAATATGTAGACACCGATGTGGACAAATATTCTTAAACAGAGAGTGAAGAAAGAGGGCTTCAAAGTCCAAATAGTTCTAGTTCCGAAATGGAGAATGAGGAGGTCAGAAAACTCGAAAGATCTAACACTTGCTGAGATTCCATATAAATGAAAGGAAATTTTCGCGTGCCAGGCACATGCTACCACCCTCTCACAAAACAAGAATGTGGAGGGATCAACTACATAGTGAAGCCACCACTCTTGTGAGAGGGGAGCGCAATGCACTGACACACAAACTATATAATTAGTCTCAAAAGAGATCCTTTAGCAACAATCAAATAAAGAACAGCATAACTTCCACCATCAACAGCCAGCAAACAACATCAAATCATCAAAGAAACAGAATAGCATCAGCAAGAAAAGGTCTGCTATACCCATCCAACAGATTCAGGGGATGCAAAAACCACCTACAATGCATGACTATGGAAACAAAAGCGCCCTTTATTTTTTGTCACTGCATCAGCAAAAATGAAGAGGCCCTTGCCCATATAAAATGAAGAAGAAAAAAATGACGTGCCCATTGTTTCCCACTACTTTCTGTTTCAACCCCCAAAAAAAACCACGAAGAAAACATTGATTTATCCTTCATTCATGTGCTGGGTACATGTCCATTTTTAGATTAATGGCATTAAATGGATATATGGTCGGAAAGACCAAATTTAAACCATTTCACAACTACAGGGTTAATTTTGTTCAAATTACAAACACAAAGATCATTACAAACACAAAGACCAAAATGAAACATTTAGGTAAAAGGCGAATTTTACACCAAAATCTATATCTATTGCATCCTCCTCGCAATGACTATAGATCAGCAATTCACTATTGGAATAGGACACCTTCCTGACTAATTTCCATCCACTGGAATGCTCTTTCTTTTACAGAAATACACAACACTTTTCCTAGACTCGCCCTCCAATGTATGACCAACAACCTACTGGAGTGCGGCAGTTAACTTCATTATCATACAATCATGTTTCTCTATAACAGCATTAAGCAGCAAAGAAAGCAAAAAATTCTAGAACATTTTGCAATAAGAAACCAGATGAAACAGTCAAAGTCAAAAGTAAGTAATCCTTTTGATTGAAGCATACTCTGAAAATGTAAACACATTTAGTATAATCCTGCTTAACAATGAACTCTTTCGACCAGTAGAAACAATTAAATCTATCTTTTTTTCCTTCTAACAAAGGCCAAATCAAAGACATTGATCCAAGGTGAAGAGTTGCTTTAGCTGGGTGCTTATGTTTCACTAATAGGCAACCAGCCAGAGAACACTGATCAGAAAAACATACCAAAAGGCTACTCATTTGTCGGGATGCCTAATTATTCTCTGCAAAATCACTGTCCTTGCCCTCCTTATATTCCGGCTACACTTATCAGCATGTTGGCTTAAATTATCAATGGTTTCCACAAACATTTCCAGCTTTTTCTTGATCTCATCTATCACTAGCTTCACAGTGTCCTCTTCTCTAAGAGCAAAACCAGCAGTCTGCAACAGTGACTCAATCTGAATTTCCCATTTGTCAACAAGCACCCGGATGTTGTCCAGGTCCTTCATTGTAACATAAGTCCCAATCTGCATTGAGCTGATTATCTCCCTCTGCCCTTTCAGTGTCCTCTCATAACGATTCCAGAGCAAATTACACCACTTTCCAATTGAACCTATTGGAACAGCCAATGCTCCTGCCAAGGCTGTTACAAGTGGTGGTGCAGCAATAGCAGCTGCCACCACAGAGAAAACCAATACAGAGACGAAACCGGCAACAAAAATAACATTTGACACTCTCCTCCAAGCTTTGACTGATTTCAACTTCTTATCAAGTTTTCTCTTACGAAGTTGCAGTTTCTCAAACATCGATGCCTGTTGCTTATAAACTGACTGAAACAGTATAAAGAATTCGTCTGTGAAAGGTTCCCCAGCTGCCTTAAATGCCCTCAATTCTTGTAAGGTCCTCTCACACCTCTTCCCTTCAGCTCCAGCTTCTACTTCTTCCTGAAACTGTCTAACTGCAGCTTGAATTATCAGCTGGTTATTCAGCGCGCGCTTGAGACATTGCTCAAGGGCAGTACAGAAGTCCATTGTTTGAAGACTGTTCTCAAAGTATTCCTCCACAAGAGAGAACATTTCTTTACTGTTCCATATATCCTTCTTGCATTCTAGAATGACTTTGACCACTTCCTGGTTCATTTCAAGCAAGCAATCAGTAACCTCTTTGAGTGAGTCAAGAGATAGGGACCGAACTTCGAGTCCAGTGGAAAGGGAGGTGATGACACGGCTAGTGCGCTGTCGGAGAGTGGCATCAAATGATTGTAAGGCCGGGTCATGTTTACAGGCTGCCTCGTACGAGCTCAAATCGGCTGTGTCCTGGGAATTGGTATTGATTTCAAGGGATTGTGGTGGTGGTGGTGATGATGATTGTGCCTGGCCATCAACACCCTTGTTTTTACTGGATTTTGCTCCCATCATTTGCGTCCAGATATTTCCCGAAAAACAAACTATGGCTAACTAACAAAAAAAGATAATTCCTTTACCTCTTTCTTATCTTGAATGAATTTGGAAGAAGCTCAAAAGATCTTAAATCTAGCAAAGCCTTGGAAATGCAGCTAACCAAGTCCTCTTAATGCAAAGAAATACTGGGAAAGTTACGAAATCCAGTCAAATCCAGTCGATGAGTAGGTTGAAGAACCAAAAATGACCCAAAGACTTGGACTTTGGTTAGATCCTAAGCACCCAAGAGCTATATTTCACTTGGTAATGTAAAACCCACATGAAATTTCTGTAATCAAAATGTGAAACTTTATGATTTTGCTAACTGTAGCACTTAGCTTAATAAGATCAGATTACCTGCAACTCAGCTTGAAGTCGAAGATAAGATGGAACTTTACTCTCACTACAATCGTCCACAAAGAGCAAGATTCCCAGAATCCAAGCAAAACCCAACACAACCAGCCAAAGGCCAAGTCTTGACACAACCCAGAAGTCAATGATCCTGAGCAATACAAAAGATATGACAAAGACGAACACTTACACAACCACCAATAAACTAAAGAAATGGAGATGAGAGACGATATTTGGTTTGGAAATGAAGGGTTTAAGGTAATTTAATGAGATAAATTACAGAGATGGAAAGGGAGAGGAAAGTGAGAGGCAATGGGAAAGCGGTGAGCACACCATGTCGTCAATAACGAAGAATACTAGCTTCCCAACCTACAGTACAAGATTCGACTCCGCTTATAACTAATGTTGTCTTTAAGGAACAAAACATACACTAAGACTAATACCTGAAAAGAAATAAAAGCAAAAGAGAGGAGCTTAAAAGCAAAAGGCCGAAAAGTGAGACCGATATTTGTGTAAACTTGTTTTTATTATTTTTTTCCTTGGCTTGTCAATCAAGTAGCTCACTTGCGATGCAATGGTAAATGGTTACTGGAATTTAATTGAAAATTCCCATATTGAGAGGCTGAGGGGGTCAAATTATTTTCTAAAGTCTATATGTCTAACAAATGCCATTTCACCAAACAATCCTTCCTGACTTCTCTTTCAACACCAATGGGTTCTATTGATCCAGTAATACCATAAAAATAAATAAAGATTCAGTTAAACTCGGGGCGTTTCCATCTCACTAATGAAATAGTACGTATAGAGAAAAGTTTTTTTCTTTCCTTTTTTTGAGTTCTAGAAAAGAAAGAAAACTAGTTAAAATTTGTTGGATATTTGTTGAAACAAAGTTTGTGAGTTATGGCTTAATGGAAGTGTACATGTGGGAATGACAATGAGAGTGGCAGACATTAACGTTGTTGGAGGTAGCCTTAGGTAGTCTGTGTGATGGAATTTGTAGAAATTAGCAGAGAAAAGAAGCTGAGTAGGAAGGAGGAGTTGAGGATTTTATGAATAAAGACGTGTCTTGGGATAAAATAAAAGTGAGAGATATATCAAATTAAATACATGTATGGGGACAAGGCATGCCGACTCTTGATGGCTTTGACCATGACTTCTCTGGTCTGCAAGTTCATAAGTCATGAAGGTCGTATTACTTTCTAGAGAGACAACCAAAGCATGTCTTAATCTTAGGTATGTTAGGAACCAAAGTCAATATTATCCAGCATTATAGGCTGTGGAAATAGTTCCTCCCTCCCTCCCCATCAATTATTTCTAGAAAGTATTGTAGAGTTATGTTATGTGTGGTATGGTGGCATATGTCATGTCATGTTTGGTGTGTTAGGTGTGTCTCATTATAGACATCGAACTGGATTGTCTAAAATTATTGAATAATTTCATTTAACCATAAATTCTTAAGCAAAAAATTAAACCATGTATCCTATAAAAATATGGCTGAATTATTAGAATTGAATTGGGCAATAATCCAATCACACACTGCATCAAAGGCAGGAAAATGCTTTACTAATCTAGTCTAATCAAAATGCCTTCTCCACACAAAATTATAGGTCATGTTGGTGCCTAGGATTTGATTCTATAAGATAGCTTACTATATTCAAGGCACATTGAAGACGGAGTAGAGCTCAACTTCCAAATTTTGTCAAAGTTAAAGGTAAAAGATGAATTAGAAACTTATCCCTTTGAATTCTACCATTTTATGGGGATTTGAGGAAATAGTTTTCTTCATGACTAATCCATTTTTTTTAAAGGACCTTTCTTCTTGAAATAGGCAATAATATACTAAATTCACATACACTACACGGATGCTATGACTCAAGCCTAAGACTTTTCATGGAAAGAGCAATTGCTTCAAACCACTACACTAGTGAGTTATTTGCATGACTAATCCATTTTAATCCTTCAACTTGATCAAATTTGAAAGTTGCCATTCGATTCTTATTTCAACATACTGTGGATAGTGAGTTATGGGCACCAATTGTGATTCATTGCATGGCTTAGACTTAAAGTAAGTTGGCTAAAAAAAAAAGAATAAAAAAAGAAAAGAAAGAAAGGATGGATGTTCTTATAGAATGTTGCTTCTCCAAAACAATGAATGATACCAATTACATACCATACCAAATTCAGATTCTTCCTATATCTAATCCTCTAATTCTTTCCATGTATTCCATTCTTATTTAGAATCCATTGTCCTCAAACATTCAGTGTACATTCAGTGTACTCAATCAAGGTGATGAACCTGCTTAAGCACCTTGGGCAACTCCTGGTTGGACAAATAAAAAGACCCATAGAAAATAATGGAAATTTTATGGTTTATGGATACACCATCAGCATGGACTGGCCCAAGAATCATAACAATGGAGCCCCAACGTTGAAATCTGCAACACTCTACCAAAAGCGGGTACAATTGAAATTGCAAAATTCAGAAACAGCAGAGTAGCAAGCAACCTTGTACTGAAAGACGGAAACACTACACCAGCGTCTGCAGCAATCATTGCAATTTAATTTGTTGAACCAAGACGATGCCGTCCATCGGCTTCTCATTGCAACTACCTTGTACCAAGAAGATGCCCAAATATCAATTTCAGATTGAACACAGATAAAAAAAGTACACAGATTCATGCAAAAGAAGTATATAAAAAAAAGTATAATTTGACCCAACCCGGTGGAAGCATGATATGCTAACTGTGACACAAATCTCACCTGCTACACTCATCCTTTTTCTCCAACACAACATGAATTAAATGCTAAGCTCTACTCTCTTTTTTTTATAAATTGACCAAATTTCAGAGATTTTAATTCTGAAAAACAAAGGACTCTAAAATTACAACAAAAGGGTTCTTTAGTTTCCCCTGTGAGCAATGTAATTAGCCAGAGCAATTAAAGGCGCAGCCTTTTCAAGATCGAAACCAGAGAGCTGTTCCTTGGCGTCTTTAATGAGCTTCTCAGCAAACTCCCTAGATTTCTCAATCCCCAATAGCTTGGGGTACGTGACCTTATCAGCCAACAAGTCCTTCCCTGCCGTTTTGCCCAATTCCTGTGAAGACTTGGTCACATCAAGAATGTCGTCGACGACCTGAAACAGCAACCCAATGTACCTCGCAAAAGTCCGGAGCTTTTCGGTTTCTGAATCCGACCCGCCTCCCAAAATGGAGCCCAGAACCACCGAACACTCGAGCAAAGCTGCGGTTTTGTGGAGGTGGATATATTCGAGCTGCTCCAGCCCCACATCGGCCAAGCCCTCTGAGTTTAAATCCACCACTTGACCCGCCACGAGCCCTTCAGCCCCGATTGACTTCGCCAGTTCCTCAACTGCTCTGATTATTCTCTCAGGCGAGACGCCGACTGTGTTCACGGCGATGTGCTCGAAAGCGAAAGCCAAGAGGGCGTCGCCGGCCAAAACGGCGACGTCCTCCCCGAAAACCTTGTGGTTTGTGGGTTTTCCGCGGCGGAGGTCGTCGTTGTCCATACACGGCAAGTCGTCGTGGATCAACGACATGGTGTGGATCATCTCGACGGCGCACGCAGCGGGCATGGCCTGCGAATGGGACCCGCCGACGAGCTCGCAGGCGGCGAGGCAGAGGACCGGCCGGACCCGCTTGCCTCCGGCCAACAGAGAGTAGCGCATGGCCTCGTGGATCATGGCCGGGTCTCGGAGTGGAACGGCGGCGTCTAAGGCTTGGTTGACCAAGTCGGCAGTTTGGAGCATGTAGGACTTGAAATTAAAACTGGGTTTTGCTGATTCTTCATCTTTGAGGGTCTGTTGCTTGGTGAGAATTGCAGAGACGGAGAAAGGGGAGGTGGACCGACGTCGTTTTGGGGGTGCAAATGAAACGGGCATGTTGGTCTTGAGTGGGTGGACGAGGCTGAAAGTTTGGGATCTGGATCTGCCTGCTTGGTTGAACATTGAGCAGGTTTGGATTTGAACCCATGTGAGATTCAAGCAGCTCATATTTCTGGAATTTTTTTATTTTGGGTTCAATCCAATTTGCTCAAAGATGGTTGCTTTGCTCTGAAATTTCCGCAATGGTGGGGATGGGAGGATGGATTTACAGTGTTATATTGGTGTGGAGGGTGAAGACAGTTTTGAGAGTAATCATAGGTCCTTCCAATTATGCAAGCTCACATTCCCGTTTTGGAATTGCAAAGAGAGAAAGAAAGAGTGGCAGTCTAGAGAGAAAAAGTGTAAGAAGGGTGGTAGGGGGGAAGTGGTAAGAGCAATACAGAGGCGAACCAATCAAGTGGGGGGAGGAGGCCTAGGTGGCAAGGATAGGGTTTTGGGTTGGGTGGAATTGCAAGGCTCTGTGACAATTGGCATTTTAATGATTCATATACAAACTTTCTATGTACATGTGGTTTTGTGTGTGCAATCCCACGTACCAAAACAACACAGATACCTTTTATTTAGGGCAATGATTTCCCCACTCCTATTTTATCCACTTACACTCCTTTTTTAGTTATAAAAAAGGAGTGTAAGTGGATAAAATAGGAGAAAAAGGAGTGGGGAAATCACCACTCTTTATTTATTTATTATAATTATTATCTGATTAATAAGAGATTCTTTGGAATCTTTTTTTTTTTTGGGAAAAAATAATTGGCAAAAAAATTGAAAATGGTTTGCGGCTAAACGGCCAGGGCATCACGTGCATTTCGTTTTACAGGTTCAGTGTCTTTTGGGCCTTAATTCGTATTCAAATGATTTTTCCCAAATCAACCATGCATCAAATCAAATCAAAATATGAACGCGTCTTTTTTGTAGCACAAGAAACAAAATGTGTTCATGTTGTGACATGGATGCGTCAAAGAGCCAAGGTTTTCCAAGAGATAAGGAGACAACTCACTAACAAAATTGACTCCATTTGTTAAGAGACATGGAAATCCTCCAATTACCAATAACTAAATGATGTTCCAGTCTTCATCTTCAATTTGTGTAAGAAATATTATTGTGTTCCCTCAAGTCAAGCCGAAAATGTTTACAAGTGTGAATCTCGATCTCCAAGAAGACTCAAATTTGGTCCCATGTTACAGTGAGTGAGAGGTCACTTTCCCATTTCTTTCCTGCATGCATGCATCCGACCCCATGATTGATAATTCATTCACATAATGAAATTAAAATACCAAGATTTTTTCCTTTTTTAACAGGGACATTTAAAATGAATTTCGGAAAAAGGAAAAAAATCTGTGGTTATTAAAATAACAAGATTTTTTCCTTTTTTAACAGGGGCATTTTTCATAATGAAATTAAAATACCAAGATAATTCATTTATAAATTTGGAAAAATGTCCACGTTCAAATCCCCCTCCCCCCTCTCTCAACACGAGCAAGCAACCACTTCCTTTAGAATGACCTTTCGAAGTGCAGGATAATGGTTATCAAGAAAAACAAAGGACTAAAAAGTCAGATTTGAGTCGACACCTGCTAAATTTGTGGATGCTTGTCTATTTTTGGCTTTTGCACCGAACGACCAAGTGGCCGGCCAACACCACCTCTCTGGGCAGGCCAGGCAGCAACTGCAATGCAAACAACATTTTTGGGATAACGCCAATTTGTAGTTACAAGGTCAGTATTATGCCATTAGCTATCAGAAGTCTCTCAAAACAATGTTAACAAGAAAACTAAGGCAAGTGATTTAGAGGCATGGCCAATGCAAAGTTTTCTTGTGCATCGGCATTTTACTTGTTGTACATGAAGACAATGCTGAAGATAAAAAACCCAGCCATCTGCAAAAAGTGAAACCAAACAAACATTTATCGAGAGGTAAGTGCAGATTTATCGACAGATAAGATCACAAGAGGAGAGAGAGAGAGAGAGAGAGAGAGAGAGAGAGTACTGTAGTAAACGAAGCTCCATAATACGGGAAAGCTGTGGTTATAAATCGTTCATATTCATTATGCCGGAAAGGCCGTACAGGGATCTGAAATTTGAATTTTCCATAGAAGTAACATGAGAAGAACAATCTTGTTATAACAAGAATAGACTAGTTTTAAAATCTTATAAGGTTTCGCTAATTAGCAGTTGAGCACCATAACTACCCCCACAACAAACAATGGACAGTTTCGAACTGTCATGTTTTTTACATCATATTATCTTATTATATCAGACAATTGCCATTTAACTGCCCAACTATTTGATCCTTCTTTCATGGGAGCTCATAAATTTAGAGTCAATGATTTACTCTTTTTTTTTTTTTGGGGTAAACAATTAGTAATGGAAACTAGAGCTCTCATACTACAATATGATCAAGCTAGTAGTGGAAAAACAGATCATAAAATTTATAAAGCCATAACAACAATCAAACTGCTTTGTTAATGAAAGGTGTCTAAACCAAAAGCTGACCTGTTTGGCAAGGGATAAGCTAGTGTACCCAAGCCTGTTATACTCAACCTTAAACTGGAAAACCCCATAAACATCAGGGACCTTGAATGACGTACGGTACAGTCCCTGAAAAATCAAATATGCACGTGAACAAAGATGTTCTAGATTTGGTAAATCAAGTCAAAACATGGTCTTGGGATAAGAATACCTTCTGATCAGTTGCCAGAGTTTTTAGCACATAAGGGCTCATCATGAAGAACTGCACTTGAACATCACCAGCCACATATGGTTCCCAGCTCTTTCCAGACCACTCGTATATCTCAATGGAATAAACCTGCAAATACAAAAGACTAAATGATTCCAGTGCATTCCCTCTGTTTAGAAATTCAGCAAATATACATACATATATGTATATAGATGATAGCTGTGTTGAGGCATTACCAGATCATCATTAATTCTATAGACTGCAGGTTCATCAGTTTCTCCAACTTTGTGGTGTCTAACATTGACAGCCTGAAAATAAAGGTCATGAATTAACACAGCAAAGACAATGCACAAGGATAAATGATAAACAAATACCTAAACATATGAAGTATAAATTGGAAGTAAATGCATTGATAACTGTAATATCACAAATTCAAAGCCTCATTTAACTTGTATATCTCAATGTAACAGTTCATGATATATAATGAACCTCACCTTTAGATGTCCCCTTTCATGGAAGATCCATTTGCTAAGTTCAGTCACAAACTGTTCATTACCAGACTTTTCATATCTGTCATCAAAAGTTTCAGGATAATGTGAATTTTTTTGCCTTGATCAAGCCACTTTGGAATTAGTATCAAACCATTTTCAGCACAAACAAAAGGACAGGTTACATATGAGTCCATGAGAATGAAAGAGAGATAACAAAAGTATTCAATGGAAGCTTCCCGGAGTCTTCAGCACTTAAGATTACATAGATTCTGTCTTTCTTGAAAAAAGAATATAAATGCAAGTAGGTTTGCCGTGTGTTCAACTATATGTAGGTAATAAGTATGAAAGCAGCATATAACCAAAAGATAATGGGATAAGTAATGAAAAGCAGCAATTTAAAGATTTTACTCACTTCTTTGAGCTCCCAGCCTTCTGCACAGCTGATTTGAACAATCTGAATCACAAGCAGAAATCAGAAGTAAATCCTATAAATGAAAAACAATTAAAGGACAGAGAAACCACAGTGATAAATGAATTCAGATAACCAATTAGATACATACTGGTTGCTAAACATATCTACAGAACCTGAGATCAAAATCCGAGCATTGTTTCTAGCCTGCAATTTAAGATTTCAAAATGACTCCATCAAGTTCAACCAATGTGGCAGGTGACGGTGTGAAAAGGAACATGAAGAAAATGTCCCAATTGCTCACAAAAGACTTTCACATTGTGTTTCAGAGATGGAAGCAAGCTTAGGTGGAGGTTCATATAATAGACAAACATTGTTTCCCGAACACAGAAAGAACTTACTTGCAGAACAGAAACTAATGAAATAGCAGATCCAGTGAGTGATGGAGGATAGGACAATTTGGCATTTGGGCTGGCAGAATATGATGAAGGAGATGCTGAAAGAACTTTTAAAACCTATGATTATACCATAGACCACAGAAAGAAATAATCCGTTATCTCAACGCCATTTAAAACCCACTGAAGAGGTCATAAGCAAAAGAGTTCAGAACTTCAAAAGCAGATTGGAGCTTACCAAGCTATTAGAAGCACTTAACGAATGTGCAATCCCTTTGAAAAGTACAGGGGCCTGTCGCATAGAATGATAATATATAAGACATTTTAAAATATGACCATTGAAGTGATCGATACCATTTTTGCGTAATGATATTGAATAATAATCTAAAACACAATGCAAAGTACTGAAATCAGAGAGCAAGGAGTTTATAACCAGCAACACATTTACCACGTTAGATTTAAGCAATGTGGGCATATGTAGCAACAAATTATCTAGTAAGAAAATATGTTCATGAAACTTAAACTGACCTCGATCTTATTCTTTCCCAGAATCACATCAGATTGAATAAAGTCATCGCTGGCAATCAATGTATGGTCCCCTTGGGTCCCCAACACGGCGTAATTGGTGTGGTCGATAACCACAGCTGATGGATCCTGCACCAAATCAAAACCATATTCATCAATGACATTACTTTCTACTTTCCATTCATCTAAATTGACCAAATTATGAACAATACAGCAAACCTCATCGAAATCGACCCCGCATTGCCTTGCAATACTGCGAACCAAATCAGATGCAGAGGCACCAGCTGCCAAGATCAAGTCGTGCCCAGAGTCAACGAAATCAAGCACAGCCTGAAAATCCACAGCTCCTCCAAACTCTTAAAACCCAAACAAAGAAAATCAGATTTCATTGCATATAAAGGAATTAACCAAAATGTGTCATTCTTAGGAGTTTCTGATTGATGAACTTACGGTAGGCGGTAGGAGAGAAGAGAACGAGGCCGTCGTACAAGTACTGGCTATAGCGCTGGAGCGAGAGGGTGGGGTCGTCGGCGAGCTTGAAGTCGAGATCGAAGCCGCGGGAGATGAGAGAGTGGAAGAAGATGGAGTGAGAGGATTGGAGAGAGAGGTCGTCGAGGAGGACTAGGAGGCGCCGATTGGTTGGGGCTTCGGGAGAGAATGAGTGGCAGAGAAAGGGGAGGAGTGAGATTAGGGTGACGAAGACGGAGAGGCTCGGCATTGTTGGTCTCTGTTCTCTGAGCTCTGTGGTGGTTAGGGTTTTGCAGAGATGGGCACTGACCGTTGAAGACGGGTTTTGGCGCAAGGACTTCGTTCGTTGATCTGCGCGTGTTGGGTTCATTTCCAGTGTGGAATGCACACACGTGCGAATTTTACTTCACTCCTACAAAATAATATTTTAGAATATTTTGGAAACCATTTATATGTACAAGTACAGGTTTGAAGGAAACGGGATTTGATTATATCATAAACAATGGTGATTAGATAAAAAAACGAAAAGTGTATTAGTATAATGAAAACTAGTACGTAAAAGGCATGTAGCTCAAATAGTTACGAACAGTTACTTTGCATTCGAGGTATTGTGAAAACTAATACAAAAGAACTTAATTAAAGCTTCAAAATTAAGCATAAACTAAACTGAATTGGTATGGTACATCAATAAAGAGAGATAATTCATTTCATCATTCTACCACGAAAGTAAGGGGTAAGAAGATGTCAGTATCTTGACCTAATGTAAAAGTTACATTCTATCACTGAAGCTACAAACCCACAACCTTCATACATTTTTTTAATTATGTAATTTTGAGTAGTTTATTTCAAGCATGATTTTTGGAAGACTAATTTTACCAATTGGGCCTTCATCCCTAGCTTCAACAAGTTTGGGCCAACAATTTTCCTTTAAAAAAAAATAAAAACAACAACAAAAAAGAAGTCTAATTCTAAACACGACAAGTAAGCATTGCCGAGTTTGAAACTTGTTTCCTTATCTCTCAGAGAAAAGAAATAGCGTACAAATAAAGCAGCACGACTGAACAGTTTGTCCCCACACCGACGCATCTCTATCCCAATAAATCAAGGCATAAACCCCAGAGACGCTTAATTGGTTAAGTTCTCCAAAACCCCGAAACGACAGGTCGTTCTATTTCCAAATCCGTCTCTCTTTCCTCACTTTCCTACTCATCCACCACACCCTCTCCTTTGCAAGCTTCTTCTCAACCAGGTCAGCATCTACACATCGTAATAATAATATATACATATAAATGTATACGTATCTGTCTCCAAGTCTATTTCTTTCCTTTGCCTTGTTAGATTTTCCAGGAATTCCATTCAGGTGCTTAAAGGACTGAACTTTTTTCTGCCCTAACCCGTATTTTGTTTTTTGTTACTTTTGTATGATTTATTATTGTACCACTTGGGTTTTGGCATCTGATTGGATAATTGTGTTTGTAAACTTGGGGGGTTTATTGGGTTTTAGCTTTTTGAGCAAGATTTGATTTTTTTTGTCTCCCTGTAACTGTTTATGAAATTTGTTATTGGCTTCACTTCTCCTTTTCTTGTTAATATGACTTCATACTTTATTTCTTCTTTTTATGTGATGGACTTGTCTTAATTTGAAAAGGCATTACTATTGTGAGGATTTTGTTACTGTTTGAGATCATTGTTATGGTGATTAAAGATGAGATTGTAATTTGTTGGAGAATATCATCTTTAATTTCATGATTTTGAGTATAAAGCTGTCAGTGAATGGACAATTGTATTGCCATTTAGCCTGATAGGGCCTCAAAACAAAAAAGAAACGAAAAACAAAAAGAAAAGCAAAGAAGATGAATTAAAGGACCGTTCACCAGTGAATATTGAGGTTTCTTGACTTCTTGTTTTTTGGTTGGTGTGTACTAAATTTTGATTTTCATTTGGTTATTTTTTACTTCATGTTCCACAAGAAAAAATTGGCCTGCTTGGCATATCTTCTATAGTTCTGTTTAGATTGATTCACCCCTTACTTTAGTCTACTTGTGTGTGGAGATTCTATGTCATTGTTTTTCGATGTCACAGATTCTTTGTCTCACGATCATTTTTTGTTTTCAAGCTACCAGTGTGATTGTTGTTATTAGCACAAAACTATAACACCCCTTTAGGCCATTTTAGGATAATTGTTTATTTTTTTATTTTCAGGAGATATGATTAGGCTATTCAAAGTAAAGGAGAAGCAGAGAGAACTTGCTGAAAATGCCAATGGAGCATCGCATGTTAAGAAGCAATCTGCTGGGGAATTACGTCTTCATAAAGGTTTTCCTTCTCTCTAATGATCATATCCTTTGATTTATTTGAAGCTCTTACTTTTCAATATTCTTCTAGCTTTTGCATGCCCTTCATTTCTGATTCCAGAAAGAGTTTGTTGATTGTTTAAAGCAATATGGATCAGTCCAGTTAGATGGTTTCTATAATATTGACAGTTGTATTGCTTTTTGGGTTGAGTGGTTTTTGAATGATGATATAGAACATCCTTCTTGGTCCTCGGTTACGCAATAAGAATTATATAAAGGGTTCTCAGGTTGGTGGTGCTTTGAAGAAAATTTAGAAAATAACAGTTTTTAGAAAATGGATTAACCTCCTGGACTGCTTAATGTGTATCTTTTTGTACATCAAGTTGATATATCAAGTTGAGATAAGTTTATGCTGAGTACAGAGTCATTATCCAATTGAAATTTTTAGCATTCTTGATTGCATATTTAAATGTTGGTGCTACAATAAGTCATTATCCAAAAATGCTATAATTTGGTTAAGGAGGCAGGTTTTATACTGCTTCTCTTGCTGAATTATTTTTACTGGTTTTTTTGGACTATGCGTGCAGTTTTATTGTTTCACTAAATTTGACCATCCATTCATTTTTTTAAAAAATTACTTCTTGTGGCATCTGATGCAGATATATCTGAGCTGAATCTACCAAAATCTTGTAACATTTCTTTTCCTAATGGCAAGGATGAGCTGATGAACTTTGAGGTTACAATTCGTCCAGATGAAGGCTTTTACTCGTAAGGATTTTTTCTACTCTTTGTGTGCAGAAGTTTCTTCAAACAAAGCTTTTGTCACAACTGCACATACTAATTTTAGACACGTATCCTTTGTCTGAGAAGCTGGGTTAACTTTTTGTTTTCCACACACACATACACCGCATATCACTCACACAAATATGTCTACAAATATACTTGTGTGCGAGGATTTTCAATTGCAAGACACTGCAGCCATTGTTTTCTATGTAATGAAGTCAACACGAACACAAGCAATGGTGTTGAGGGTTATCATATTGTTGTTTCTTAGCAGAATTTTTTTTTAAAAAAAACCTCGTGTAAAATTAGCATAATGATTAGTTTTCTAAGTTCTCTTCCATTTGTTGTTACAGAGGTGGTACATTTTCGTTTACTTTCCAAGTTGCCCCTATCTATCCACACGAGGCACCAAAAGTCAAGTGTAAGACCAAGGTAGACTTGTGCATCATATATGTTTCACCGTTTCTTGTTTAACTTAAATCATGTCTTCTCTTTTATTTTATCGCTTATATGATCCATTGCCTCTACATCGTACAACCCACTGACAGGTCTACCATCCTAATATTGACTTGGAAGGGAATGTCTGCCTCAACATCCTACGAGAAGATTGGAAACCTGTCCTTAATATAAACACTGTCATCTATGGATTGTATCATCTTTTCACGGTACTATCTTGATAGTCCTCTGTGATTTGTTACTATTTGGTATCTGAATGTTGCTTATTTTTCTCTTTAATTTTGTTTGCAGGAACCAAATTATGAAGATCCCCTAAATCACGATGCAGCTGCAGTGTTGAGAGATAATCCTAAGATGTTCGAGTCTAATGTAAGAAGGGCTATGGCTGGTGGGTATGTGGGGCAAACCCTCTTCCCAAGGTGCATATAGCTATTGTTTGGTAGCACCAAAGTGTCAATTGACATATTATCAATGCTTGAAATGCAAGTGGGGTTGTAATATTTGTTCGCAGATTGCATTTTCTTTGTTCTTTTTTCCCCCTTTTTTTTTCCTTTTAATTTCATCAATGGAGTTGGGCGCTTTAAAATGTATGTCACTGTAACTTTTGGGATGCTTTGTATCTTGATGTGTAATAAGGATAGGTTGGACACAATGCCTCTCTCTCTCTCTCTCTCTCTCTCTCTCTCTCTCTCTCTCTTACAAAAGTACGTTTGATTCTTTCCTGATGAACCTTTCAGATGTGTCATGAACTATTCATGGCATGCTAAACCATTCCAAATATGTAAGACATTGGTTCCATTGAACATAATCACTCCCGAAAGTGGCCTAACCATTAAAGAATCACAAAATCTAGTGTGCAAACAAAATTAGCTTTGGTATCAGATATCTTTTAGTATCGAAATTAAAGCGTGGCTTCTCTAACTAGTCACCGTATTGCAGCTGAAGGCAAGACTAGGAGAAGACTTGGAAGACCAGAATCTCCAGAAATGCCGTAGGCTTGGAGAAGCCGCATAATACTTCTCACTTTTTTTCATATCATTGATTGCTCCTTCAAACTAAGAATGACTTCTCACCTCATCTCTTCCTCTTTCACACTGGCCATTCTAGCATTTTCACGGTCCTTCCTGAAAAACAAATACAACGGCGTATAAAACAAGCAACACAAGCCAAATGGAACAGCCATCATTGTAAGAAGCCCTTGAGATAATGCAAAGGCCTCCCGGGTAGACCCGTTAATCGGATCCACTGATTTTGCATCGTAACCAAACATCTTCTCTGAAAGAATTCCGACCAAGGGAGCTGCAAAAGAAGAGAACGATCCTTCGAAAGCACGATCAAAGGCATAAATCATGGTTCGGTGTTTGATAGGGACAACCTCAGCAAACATAGGACCATTTGCAGCAGTAGCATTCCAGCTGATAGTGAGACCCATCAGCAAGAGGGTGACAGCAAAGGTGTAATAGCTGCTTACTGACTGTGGGATGACTTTAAGTAAGAACCATGAAAAGGGGATGCCCATGAAGGCGCTGAACTGAGCACACATGATGCGGCCTGAATGAGGGTAGATTCGTGACATTCGATCTGCTATTAGTCCTCCAAGAAGAGAACCCATAGCACAGCCAACCGCAAAAAGACTAAGGAGGGCTGCTGTGCTGTTGTGATCAAAACCTGCAAAATTGAATTAGAAGACATCATATGTCATGAAAGTAGAAGTTTGAAAATTCGAAGCTCAGAAAACAAAAAGGAGGGCAGAAAGGATAATCAGCAATTGTTTCATTGAAGTATGGAATTTGCGGTAGTGCTTACCGATCAATTCAAACCACATAGTGAAGAACACCATGGCAGTCCATGGTAGCGAACCAACAATACCCTGCAAAACAATTATTTGGAACGTTTGCACCTTAACAACTGCCTTCATGGCCGTCCAAGACTCGAGCCAAACTGATGCTGCACTTGTAGGGCCCTTAATTATCAAATCTTCCCTGCAGCATAAGGTAACCAAATCACCATATATTGATGAACTCTTTCTCCAATCACAAACCAAAGTCACCACATCTATAACTTGTTAAAGAATTTGAAAGCTGATATAATAGACAACAAATTTAAAATGTATGATGAAATAATTGCCCCGTACCTATCAGAACCATGGTCGGTACCATGAGTGAAATTAACTGTTTTTCTTGGGTCAACCACAAACAAGAGAACAAGGAACCCAATTAGTGAACTTAGTGATGCCATCAGAATGAAAGCACAGCGCCATCCTGGTACATTCCAGTATTGTTCACCAGCCATAAGTGTGGCCAGAACACCACCTCCAATGCCACCCAAGGAACCAACAAGGCTCACCATCCCAAATCCAGCTCCTCTCACTCCATCCTTATAGCTATCAGCAATAAAAGACTGAAGTGCTGGTATAACAATTGCCAATCCAAAACCATTCACTGCTCTCCAGAACGCCACTTGAGAGAAAAGCCGGCTTGCACCAACTGCAGCGGTTGACAAGGCCCAGCAAAAAGTCCCCATTGCCAGAACTGTAGGGCGATCATAATTAATAACTAGTACACCTGCAAGGGGTGATGCCATTCCCTGCACAAAGTTCCTAATGAAAGTGAGATAGCCCAGGTCAGATGGTCCAGCATTGAAAGCCTCACTCACTTCTTTGTAAACTGAGGGGAGGAGATTTTCATCGGCACGCTCCATTATAGCAGCAAAGTTGATAAGAATGAGGGACAGAGAAATCCCAAATATCTTTCTCGTTCTGTGAAAGAAAGGGATACATATGAAGAAAGGATATAGAAAGCAGCTACATGGAAAGCATAATTCTTGAGTAAACCTTCATCAGCCATACAAGCACATACATCAGAAATTCTATTCAATCCAAATTTCAAAGTGGATCAGAAATATGCAGGATGGTTTTCCGAAACAATCATATTAAGTAATCATCCATATAGAGTATCATGTGTTGACAATCCCTTTAATGGTTTATATTTGGACATGTAACTTTGAAACAATGTACAGTTTGAGAAATTAGTAACACCACAGATAGGACCTTAGCCACATTGTGAGGAAAAACATTATTGCTAGAGATATTTTGATTGCTTTGAAGGTTTTCCTAAAAGGGTACACCAAGTCAGCTGCTTTGAATAGGGAGAGGGACCAATCAATTAATGAACTCTCAATCTGAAAACTCAGCAAAACACATTCCACAACCAATCAATTCAAAGCAACATAGCCATGAGAATGAACCGATTATAGTAAAAAGAAGATAGAAAAAGATGCCAAGTCATACACACGAGAAAATTTCAAACTTTTTAAAACTATCAATAAAAATTGACACTTAAAAGTAAAAAGGGAAAGGCAATTGCTTCAGACATCAAGAACCCAATAGCACAAGCAAATTTTCTACAAAAATAATTTTTTATACAAACAAACACATTGAGCCACTGACAAAACAGACACATATGCATGACCCATGAATCCCAGAAAAGGGAAAGAAAAAAAAAAACACTTCCAGAAACTAAGGAACGACAACATGGGAAGAATCAAAGAAACGATGGTGACTGTAACTCACCTCATGGCTTGCAAACTTGTGAAAAAACCAGGTTTCGATCGAGAAGAAGTAGATGGGTATGTGAAGCCCCGTTTAAGGCCCATAAACCAGAACCAAAGAAAGAGTTAAGAACCCACCAGCCCAAAGAAACCGGGAAGGACAAGTCCTCTGCATCTATGGCGGATCTGAGACACAACACAATCTGACTTCCCACGGTCTCGTCACCAAATTTCCAAACGAATATTCAAAGATTGTCGTCATGGTATCGAGTTATTTACAATCGGATTTATCGGATTTGATTTGATTATATCTTTATTTATGGTCGTTTTCAAAACATGCGCGTCTCCAATTGTTATTGTTTATTGACTTTCATGCACAAGGCGGGGTTCGATTTCGTCCGTTGGATACGATGATCCAAGACTGACGTGGAACCTGCACAAACGGCTGCGTCTCTTTTTTTGTCTTTTGTTTTGGGTAAACTTCTGACCCTTTTTTTGGGAAAGGAATGCTGCTACGTGTAACCATGATTTCGGGCCTGTTTAGATGGATATCTATTGCCCCATTAAAGATGGGCCGTCCTCTAAAATTTCAGACTGTTATATCACATTTGGGCCAAAATGGAATTGAAACTTAATCAAGATTTTCTTCTGTCTTTTTGACCGGAAAAGCTATAATGAGGGCTTAAAGTAAGGAGGTTATTTGAGGAGGTCAAATCTCACCATCAACAAATGTAAAGAAATCATGTGACTTAAATATTTTAAATGTTTTGACGGTCAAATCGGTCTCCTCACTTTAACTCCTCATTGTAGAAGCTCCCCTTTTTGACACAAGCGCTGGACTCACGGAGATTTAAACACATGAACTCGGGTGCCGGGTAACTAATCTTGCCCAGACTTTCTTCTGTTTCCCTTTTTTATTTAATTATAACAAAAAAAATAATGAAGGCAATATTCTATTAATAATAGGGACTCTATCACATTATGCTGCACGTAATTGTTATTTTAGAAAAATAAAAACATTGGGTGGTTTGCAATAATACTAAAGGCAAAGAGCACGTGGGGCTCTTGTCCGAAGTCATTGTCGGATTAGCAAAGACCACATCAAAATGATTAAGCTTTGCACTGTATATAGGCAATGCATGAACAATGTTCTTGGAACAATAATTTAACGAAATTATTATTTTGTTAAAGAAAAAAAAAAAGCAAAACTGTCAATAAAAATAATTGATTAATTGAGATTTTTGTTTCAATGTGTGATTAATTTGAAACCATTACAAATTTTTTATTTTTTATTATTTTAAAAGTTATATGCATACGAACGTATGAATCATGATGACAGAGTACAAGTCACCTTGTGCATTGAAGTTAGGGAAAAATTATGGTTATAATTATGAAAGCAGAATTGCACTTTGGAATAATTAAGACTGGATTATAAAAGTGTTTAATTATAATTAATTGGGAAATGGTTGGGCTTAACGGACCCCCACGTGGTCTCTTGGACCAATGAAGAAGACCAATAAGATTACTCACTTTCTAGGAAAACGAAGATACACGGGCATTGGTCCCCGCCAAAACGGCACCGCACGGCTCTCTGTCCCCCGCACGTGTGCCAAGTCTCGTTGCCTTCACGCCTCACGACCTGACTTGGCCAGCTTAGCTTGGCGGTCGGTCGGTCCCTTTCCCTCGCAGAAACCTTAGCTGGATCCGCACGTGCTCCTTGTAATTAATTGAGATTTAAGAGTTAAATGCATATTAAAAGCTTAGTTGTTGTTCTTAATGCATTTCGTGACATCTTCAATTGTTGCACGTATTTCCAAATAGTTGAGCAACAACAATTGACCATTCGTTGAATGGCCATTCAGTGCTGCTGTCTATTTTGCTTCTTTTAGTTTATGATTCTTGCTAATTTGTAGACAATCAAAAATATATATTCTACATTTTCTCCTGTGAAAAGTATAATTGTTGATTGTCTGAAATTGATTCTCAAGTAAATGTTTCTAATTTAGTTAGCGTGATCAAACAAGATAATTAAAGAGTGTCGTATCGAGTACAAATGCTTCAATGACAAATCAACGGAATACACGAAGGTCAAAGAGTGTAGGAGAATGAGAGTTCTTATTTGTGAATCATATGTATAGTAGGTGGATGTTAAACCTAAGATTGATATATGACTATAATTTTTTTTAATGGTTACCTTGTTGAGTTAATTTGTATCATTCTCTAAGATTACAATTCTACATCATCCTTAAATTCTCTCTTTTTTATAGGTCAAACTTTTAGTTAAACATCGATCGATATATGGTTCACCCCTTTATTTCAAATTAGTGGTCAATTCAATCCACTTAAATTCAAACAATCAACACTAAGTCCATACTTGAGATCTTTGTTCTAATTTCACATCTTCCTTAAAGCGGTTGTCAAAATGGACTTAACCCCATACTTATATGAAGCTTGACTCTAGGGCATTTACCCCAACACCACCTAAATTCTTATATAAATTTATAATTAGATTAGGAAAGCCTTGAGAATTTTTGCTAAGCTTTACTTATTACATCCATCCATATATATATATATATACACACACATGCGTTGGACAAAAAATATATATACACATGTGTAACTTAAAAATATGTAGTACCATAAATTTATTAAAGGTTTATTTATGGATATGCCCATTGTACTTTCAAAATAGTCTCCGATGACCACATATTATTTGAAATGTCTTAATATACCACCTATACTTTCATTAAGTGTCTCACGTAAGCGATTCCGTCATATGTAAAAGAAGCTCCATTAGCTGATGTGGCCCCCCTTCTTTTCAATCTCTTAACAAGAGGAAGGAATTGTTAGTCAGGTTGATAAAAAAAGGGAATCTGGGAGAAGAATATTAGGTTGAGAGAATTTCATATTTGGGAATCTCTGAAAGAAGGGCTCGAATCTTTGAATGGGGAGGAATGCTGATTTTTCTTTGTGTGAATATTGATTGAGTGTGTGTGTTGGGTTATCTCGGAAGGGGGTGGGTTGTGTTGTGTTTGCCATATTAATTTCAGGTCTGAAATCTTCACATTTTAGCATTCTATTTGAATCTTGGGTTTGCCATATCAAATTCCTCATTTTCTCAACCTGACTAACCTTTCCTCTTCGTTGTTAAAAGGTTGAAAAGAAGTGGGGGCCACATCAACTAACTGAACTTCTCTCAAATATGACGAAATTACTTACATGAGATACTTAATGATAGTATAGATGGTATATTGAGACATTTCAAAGAACGTGTAGTAATTTGAGAATATTTTGAACATAGCAATTATTAAAAGATTCACGTCAATCAAATATTGGAGGAAAAATTACCAAAAAAATAAAAATAAAGAAAAATAGGTGGTGGGAGCCACATTCACGTGTAGAGCCAATGGTGGACACGTTAAAGGTCGTAGTGGTCCCTGTAGACGGATGGGGTGGTAGTGGGGTTTTGTGTCGCACGTGTGGAGCCGACTGACACTGCAAAAGTACCATCCAGTCCAACATGATTTGGAGGCTATTAAGAGGCGTGGGCCCTACACTTTTTTTGTTCTGAATTCTGAGCTCTTTGTTTGTCCGTATCTGTACCGTTCAAACTGAACATCACGTCAGAGCAACCCCAAATACCGGAGCGCGAGAGAGAGAGAGAGAGAGAGAGAGAGAGAGAGAGAGAGAGAGAGCATCTTCTAATCAATCAATTAGTGAAAAATATAATCCTGTGCGCGCAGTAGCACACATCCATTCTAATTGGTATTGTTGTAATTTTTAGGCCTTGGTTTGATTTTAATAGCGATATACTGTTTGAGGGTTGTAATCATTAGTTTGCTTGGTAATGGAAGGAGTGCTCTATTAGGAGTTATAGTTTCTTCTTATCGCTTCATGCAAGGAGAGTCGACTACTTGGTTAAATCAATTAACCCTTGAAAGAGTAAAAATGCTTTTCCATGGATGGAGCTAAAATTATAAAATTATTAGGAAAATAGAGGGGCGAAGGCCACCCTTGTGTGTTCACCTAATCCCCTTAACGTGTGTCTACTTTATATATTTGGTCCTCCATTCTAATAATATAATATCACTTTTTTCCTATCCAAATTTGAGAAAATTGAGAATTAGCAAAGAGAGGTGCTGATAATATTTGAGGAGTGAATTTGAGAGGTGTCGATAATATACTTAATATGGCATTTTCAGTTAGTATTAGTAGACGCTTTTTATTATGCATAAGATCTCAAGGAATTAAATAAAAGAAAAAGAAAAAATAGAGGTGCACAAAACAGTTGGAGAATAGAAACCCTAGTAGTACCTAACTAATCTACCTCAGTTTGCTAATATCATTGAAACCAATGGAGTCGGCCATGATCACTTGCCCGGTTTTAGAAATGGACCTACAGTGTTTTCTGATACAGTAGGAAGGAATACAGTGTTTTTCTAGCCCCGAACGAACACAAACATTTTGACTGGTCTTATTTTTGTGTGGCTGTGATTTGCTGGATCTTAACATGACTCCCCCTTTTTTATGATTTTATAGGAAAATATTTACTTCATTCATGAACTCATACTTTCTTGCAAATCAGAGTTTAACATATATGTATAAACTCTTCTTTTTGTGTTTTTGAGAAATTATTTTTGCATATGATATCTGTCAATTCATATTTTGCACAAGGAGACAAATAGTATCCAGAAAAACTTAAAAATTCACATAATCAAATATTTAGATTAGTTTCGAATACTTGTAGTCATCCACAAATCGAATGTCTTAAGTAAATTTGAATACACTAATTAGCTCTTAGTCTAATGATACTTCTCTCCCCAATATTGAAAGATGTCCTAAGCAACACCCATTGATATTTATAAATAATAATAAAACTTATAGGTCACTCGTGTAAATCTACAAACTTAGGGCATTTGAGTTTATCACTTACATTCTTACCCCTTTTTTTTCCTGCTTACGTTTGGGCTTATTTCAATCGAGCTCAAAGATTTTCATCTCTTCCATTGACACACCATGTATTTTGAGTGAACATAAATACCAATGTTCGAGCTTAAATTGTTAAGCCTCACAAGTAGTTTTATATTATAGGAGAAATTAAACCCCATTTTCTTGTCTAAACTCTAAGAAAGGTGGTAAAACCTAATTACCCTTATTTGTGTCTCAGAAATCTCATGGGCAGATAGATTGCAACTTGCATGATATGTGTGAATAGGGAGGGAAGAGAACAGATCGCGCAAAGAAAAAAAGAAAAAAAAGAAAAAAAGAAAAAAAGAAGGGGAGTTGCATTTCTCC